ATACTGATATTCTGATAAGAAGGAAGGTAGGGAAGTTCTGAATTTCTTCAGAGAATTGCTTTAGACAATGTTTTGTCTAATTAATCTTTCCTCACTTTTAATTTTCCCAATATTACAGTGTTTTTACAATGTTTAATTTCTGTACCAACTTTTTATTAATTGTTCACCATATCTTCATATCACCGAACTTTCAGCAATAGCTTTTATACATTTGTCCTAAATTTGTCTCAAATTGTAAAAACGATCATAGATTAACTCGCTGGTATACCAAGGTATTGCCCGAACAAGATGTTTGCGTTGTGTTTATAAAATTTTCGTTTTTGGCATTTCCAATGCTCTTTCAATTTTGAAGGAATATTTTTAATACTAATTGATTTATACTCGGCATTCAATTTGGACCATCAAGTTTAAGTCATGTCACTAAATTTACCACTGAAATCATTCTGATTCATCGAAAATCCAGTTAGAATGCAGCAAGGGACTTATTTAAGCTGAAACCGATGGGATCTTTATTTTGGCTGCCATAAATTCCCTCTTACAAAACATTCGCAATAAGGTCTAAAATTAAGTCAATTTCAGACAAGGGTCTAGACAGTTCGAGTTAGGAGGTGTATTTGTTGGGGCCAACCTTTAGATAATTAGTTTTAAAATTTGGGATATGTGTCTACCATATCGTTCCAGCTTACCTCAAAATATCTGAAAAGTCAAATATCTATATGAAAGATGTAGTGCCAAAGTACATTTGTACTTGTGGAAAAGGTAAATTAGCGTTACTCTTGTGGACGATTTATAGAACAGCTATTGGAGTTTGCTAAACAGAAGAAAAATCTTAGGCACACTGTTAAGAATCTAGCTTTTTCTTCGGCTAATCATATCAGTTCAGTCCATCAGTAGATACTCCCTCTTATTAATGATTCGTAAATATCTTGTGCTGCATACATGGGCGGATCCAGCTTTCGAGTCAGGGGGGGTCAAGTAGTAGAATTTTTCTCTTCTTGTCTTTTGTTGTCTATGAAATTTGAAAAATTTTTGTTAGTCCTTATAAACTCAGCACAAGGGGAGGTCATAACCCCCATGACCCCCCCCTGGATCCGCTCTTGTGCATGCATAATTGAGCATCAAAACAAATGTATTTTTATCAGTTTATCAGGTTATTGCAGAAAAATTCAGTATTTTAAATTAGGGTTTTGTACTTAAATTTGCAAAACAATGATACTCACACTTGTATTTTAATACTTACCATTATTGCATGGGTTTATTATATGTCTATACCCATTAAGTTGCATCTTGTGGAATTCAAAAATACTATTGAAAATGTACCTGTTTGCCTTTCTTCAGTATATGTTTGTTAGACTAACTAAGTTAGAATAAGTATTGCACTTTTTTAAAGATCTTCCAAATTGCAACTTGTGCACTTGACATAAATTGAATCGATTTTCTCGGTTTCATCAAGTAGTTGAAAAGTACCAATTGAATAAAAATAATACAAGTATTTTCTCTACCAAGTAGACAATTTCATCTATTTAGGATCTCTTAAAAATGTAACATTCGCGCATACTTCACATTGTTTAAGGATCACAATAAAACCGCCCCACAAAATACATTTTTGGAAGTTTATTTAATGGTAGTCATCAAATTTCGAACTGTTTTGCCATTCTCAATTATTGCAAATTTGTAAAAACAAATTCTTCAAGCATCAATAGGTGTTATCATTAATTTATTTTCAAAATCCACTTTTAAATTAAAAATTTAATATATACCTGTATAAAAACTCTTTAAAAAAATGTTTTAATAGTGATTTGCAACCGAGACAGTAGAGGATTTAAATAACTATTTGACTCGAAAATATGAATCCCCCACTAGAACAAATCCCTTCTTCGCAATGCCATTAATTTAATCAGACCAGCCACAATTATCTAGAATCAAACGAAGGTTAGACGGGATCAAGTTGGATATATTTATTGCGGCGAGCCCTTAAATAATTGGATATTACAGGGGATTCCCCATTTCCTTCCTTTAAACGGTTCAACAACTTTAAACAAAATTCGCGACCGTGTGAGAATTGTAGAATAGAATGTTAACTAATATTACTACGAAAATCACATTTTGCAAAGCTATTTGTAGGTTGAGCCGTTCTGTTATATCAATTAACCGAAGTCGTCATTAATTAAGATAAGTTTTAGTTCAAATCGAATTAAGTAAATAGTTGAAGACCCAAATACGTAAGAGCCGAGTATTTCTATACTTAGAGCAGTTCTCTGATCATTTATTTGGCCTGCTATTTGCTGCATATACAATGCGCAATACGCAGATATCTCATGCCATTTCATAATGCAAAATGCGCTTAGGAAATACTATTTATTGTTATTCTATTTAACTACGTCTGCCTAACTTTATAATGTCTATTTCGAGAGCTTTGTTCACAATATTAAACGGCTGAAGGAATCTTCTTTTGGTTATGTACATACGTTGTGACGGCGTCCTGGAAGTTAATCCGGAACGGGATCCGACATGAATTATATCGCATTCGAGGATATTAAACTGAACAAGGAAGACGACGGATCATGAGCTTTTATTACATTTGGTGGTAATCGAGGATGGCATAATTGTATGTAATTAGTGGAGAATGGGCTTGCGGTATTTTGATGAGGTACAATCCAGTTAAATAAAAATTAAATTCTATTTTCGGCAATTCATATTTTGAACGCTATCTAGACTTATTTTTTATGTACGGTTTTCAAACCTTTGAAGCCGAGATACACCAAGCACGTGGTGCAATTAAAAGAAGCAACTGTTTATTTTTTATAACTTTTATGTTGCCTTTCTCTTGAGAAAACTGACTGTTCTTTGATCATTATTTGATATTGACGAGCATTCGTTAAAAGTAGTTTAAGGCCTAATTTTCACTTTATTTTAAATCACTATTCTGAAATTATTTTGATAGGGCCCAATATATTACAAAAATCGGTTTTTAATTCCCGTTTGGAAAATGTACGTGTTTATAATATTTTGGTGAAAATAAATAGCGGCAATGTTGCTTGAAGTGTGATATAATATCACTCAGACAATTTTTGTTTTGTGAACGAAAGATAAAATTTATGGCTTAAAATGCATTACAGCGAAAGTGAAACTCTGCTATTTAAAAAAAAATAACCCATAAATACGTTGAGTGGTAAAATTTAACTTTTAATCGTTTCAAATAAGAGACAATTTTAATGAATTCTTGATTGTCCCCACCCCCGTGCACAATTACTGGTTAAAGAAGAGAATTCTTCTCATGCGAGCAACAAGAATTGTTATGCCAGTTTTCAGATAACTAATGCGAATTTTAATTCAGCGAATGTTGAAAACGAATGTAGATATTGTCTGCCCATAATTACAACACTTGCCAAATTTACATTTCGAACAATCAAAAATTGAAAACTAATCCAAATACATTATCTAATCCAATTAGAATATCCAATCCAATCCTATTATATTACTAAATATAAAAATATATATTATTAAATGTTTTATTATATTTATATGTATAAGTAGTATCGGTTTCAAATTAAGATGAGTTTGAATACGAAAACACAAATGTAGTTTTTATTTATACTTACTTACTACTATACTAATTTATACACGTTATGCTGAAATATTGGCAATTTTATATTCTCTTAWAAATTTACTTATTGACGCCAAATTATGCATTTTTTTCCTTTACATTTTAATTAACAGCTTTTCAGTAATGATAATCTCAAACACTGCAATCACTTTCGGGGCTTTGAATTTGTCTGAATCAGTTAAGCTTCTATGAAGTTCCAGAGTAAGAAATGTTGCAATTATCTTATTCCAAGCTAACTTTCTCGGTGTGAATACTGTATTAATTAATTTCAAAATATTTAAGGGAATACTTTAAGGGATACTGTCTGAAATGAGTTAATAATAGTTATGGTTATTTTGCAAATTTGTATTTTTTGTTCGTTTAGATTTAGATTAGTTAATTTTATTAATGTTTTTGCCTCCTAAAGCATAATGCTTAATTACGATCTCCATGGAATTTATATGGTTCCAAATTCCAATATTTATTTTAGTTACATTAATCCGTTGTTCTATTCTCAAACTTTGAAGAATTACCGTTGAATTAACGAATTCATATTTCCAAATGTCTTCGAAAAACCGTTCTCTTGTATACTAAGTAGCTTTTAAATATTATTGAAGAGTTTAAATTTTAAACTAATTACTTTCTCTAAATAAACCTACGAGCTTTGTACTGTTACTTAGTGTGGATAAAATGTTTAAAGGGAAATTTGTTGCTAAAAAACGGGGACGTTTTGCTTCTTGGAGAACCCTCAAAGCTTTTCAATCTGTGTTTATCGGAGACGGTTGAAAATATTTCATAAAAAAAATTTCGTATGAAAAACCTTCGGGCTCTAAATCTTAAATTAGCCCCAACATTTTCAATAATTTATATCTCGCTGGCGAAAGGGTGGATTATTTAAAAATTTTTAGTGTGAACATTACACAACTCGAGTTTAGAAAATGTATGCGATATTTTGCCTTTAAAAGGCCTGGGAAAATGTAAAAATTGCCTTTAACCACATTTACTCACGTATTTTCGTGGCATGGACAAGCAAAATTAATTTTAAACAAACATATATTGTAAATTTCAAAATTGTAGCAACTGGAAAAGAAGAGCACCCACTGCAATTTGATTTTTATAACTTTAGTAGCAATGCTTCATGTATGCTACGTTTCTAGTGTGCTTAAAAGTTGCTAATAACCAGATTAATGCATCTACTTCAATACGCTATTCCCATCAAAAGCGTGCTTAATCGAATTAACCTGGTAGACGCATTTGATTCTTTTAACCACAATACCGAGCAGGTTTACTTTCTCATTAGCTTTACTCTTTGGCATTAAGCTTAATACCAAATGCAATCGATTCTATCGGTAAATACCAACGAATTCGGGCTCTGAATTAGCAGCCAATTAAAGAATTGTATTTTGTGTTTCAGGTTAAATGCAGTAATGAAACAGCCAACGTAAATTTGTACTACAAATCGGTGAGTATTACAGTTAATTGGGGAAATTTATTCAGCCAGCGAGAATCCGCGCGATTCTCTCAGCACCGGCTGCGACGAAATTTATTTGGCTGAATATGTTCAAATTTATGCAAATTAGAGTTTTGCATACGACCGAGGTATGTGTGTATATGGGCGAACGCTGGAATGGCCACAGTTTTTTCTTCTTTAGGTCACATATTTAAAATTTAGTTTTTTATCACGTTTCTTGCGCCTAATGCTAATATTTATGCTAACTTTATTTGAGTTTCAACTCTTCTCCCTGTGAGTAAACTTCATTTATTTTAGATTGTTTATTTCCCTTAAAAGCTTATTTACTGTTAACATTCTTTACATTATAAGGCAATTTTTTCAATGACAAATTGGTGAAAGTGGTGCAAACTGCTCAAACTGCTATGGCAAATCCTACCAAAGTGACAAAAATAGTGGTTAAACAGTAAATTCGTCAATTTTTGCATTTAAATTAATACACAGATTCAACGTGTAAAATAATAATACAAATACTGAATAAAAAAATTGCTGTAATTCAATCTAATTACGTTAAACTGGAGTAGGTATTCCAGCTCCCCAGGTATTTAGAGGTATCTCATAACGAATTAAATTCTCTCGTAATAACATATTTAATATATCAACTAAATTTCCAACAAGAAATTTACATAAAGAATAATTAAGGCCGCGTTATTAAATTATATGACGCAAAAACAATGAAACGTTATGTAAATGGACAGGGAAATATGTGCGTTCGCATTACAAAGGCATGCATCTGTCGGGAAAATGGATTATGCGGATAAAAATTTATTTTTAAATTTAATTTTAATTTTAATCCGGCTTTTGTGCACCATTTATTAATTGTCCTTTGATCAGCCAATTTTCAATCAATACACACAGGAATTTCCGCTAAAGTTGACATATTTGAAAAACATGCAACAATAAATTTTGCACATGGAAACCGATGTGTCCCACTACGGAACAAGGGCGAACATTCTCATATGGATAATGAGTTAATTCTTTACGATATACATGGTATATCCTGTGATGGAAACACTCAACGTATATACCTAATAAAATTATTCATTTATCAATAAATACAAACAAGCAATAATTCCGTGTACAATAAAGCTCTACAATTATTTAATAGAATTTATTAATCTAATTTCCAGTTGTAATACATAAATAGTTAAACATTTCACACAGAAATTGGAAAAGGACGCTTTTTCGAAATCACTGAGCCACATCTGCAGCAAAAGTAAGAGTTTTGTACAGTAACATCCAACCAACCAATTTAAATGACAACAATTAAACTTGAACAAACTTTAGTCCAGACAATTTGTTTTGCAAAATAACCAACATAACAAATTTGATTTAGTAGGCAATACATTTAAATACGTTTCTCTCTAGAATTGTTTGCTGCTAATTTCCAGTTGATTTACTTTTTCCCATTTTTTCTAATCGTTATAAGTTCGGCATACATTCCTGATCTACAGGCCTGAATGTTAAATATGGCACATTGGATGGCACGCATGGTATATTGGAGACCCGTAAATTTTATTTACAGGGCGGACACTTCAAATTAATAATTTTAGCCTCCTTGTTTCAACCCAACACCAAGGACGGGTGGATGTCACCCTTTGAATCTTAAATGGGAAGGGGGGCCAAGTGGCACATCGTTTTAAAATGCGTTTAATTCTCTTTACATTAGTTACTATTTCGTTACTTTTTGTTTAGACATTTTCGAATAACCGCGTTTCAAAATTACATAAACAATTAAACTTGCGTGCATTCAGATATAAGTTACACTGTTAAAATCGTTGAATAACAGGAAGAAAAATCCACTCTTATAATCATTTGCATTACAAGGAGACCCAATACAATTGTTTTTGTGTAAACACTAACCTGAAAATCCATATCGGAATGCACTCAAGTTTAATTGTTTCTACAAATTTGAAACGCTATTATTCGGAAACCTCTGGACAAAAAGCAACAAAGTAATAACCAATGTAAAGGGCGTTCAATTCTCTTGACCCCCCTTTCCATTTAACATTCTAAGGGGGTTGAAACAAGAAGGCTAAGAATATTCATTTAAAGTGTCTCCCTTACAAATAAAATTGACGGGTCTCCGATCTTTCATATTTTCAACCGCAAGAAAGATATTAAGGGTGGGAAGTTTTCAAATTGACACCCTGTATATATTGTTATTTGGTTTAAAATGATTTTTTGTCTCCAATTTAATTTATTATTATTTTAATTTTTAAATAGTGTAAAAGTAGGTATATATAAAATAAGCAGTGCAGATTTGGGCGCTGAAGAAAATACGAGATATTCAAATTATTGGAAAACAAAGCCCATAATTTGTTTCATTTTTAATCCTGATTTAATAAGCTTTTGGAACCAAGGGTGAGGATCCTTTTTTCGATTCAGAGTTATGCTTTAGTCGGCGAACGTACTGAAAATTTCATAAACATATATGATATTCAGTACTTTAATATTAAATAGTACTAAAGAAATTTCTTACATTTAAACCCACGCTTCTTTGAAACGATAAATTTATTAAGGAAATTAAGGGTTTGTGTGTGTTTGTATTATTTGTTAGTGAATATATCTAATTAAATAATTTCGCTATTATTTCAAAAATATGTTTACAAGCAACGCTTTTTGTCCCAAAGCTTTCCAAAGTCCCACTATCTGATTCTTCCCTTAGAGTTGGCAAAATCTAGACAAAGTTTTGAATCATGCCCCTTCCTTTGAATTCGAAAACCATGCATTTTATTCTGAACCATTTAAAAAAAGGGTATCATAAAATGCTTTATGTATGTGTGGCACAATCGGATCGCCTTAGAGCGAACAACATGTTTAAGCCCTTTTTCTGGAACATCATTTTAATATTCTAAAGAGATGTGTTGCTGGATAATGTTACTGCTCGAAAAACGTAAGCTTGTTAGAGACGGAATAAAATAAATATAATATTGCGACTGCTTTTGAAACGGAATCTCTCTACTATCTATGTGAATGCTTCAAGATATATTTCACTCGTCTGCTGACATGTCGTTGTTTACTTACAGTTTGTATCTCTAAACATGTGTATAACTGTGCAACTCTTCCGTAAAAAGTTGCAAAATGCAGTTTTCTGGAAATTTCGATTCTTAGTGAACTGATTTGTGCTTTACCAAATACAGCATTTCGATTTCTTTTCAGAGCGAAGAAGATTTTCACAATGATTATTTAATAGGGTTCGCATTTGTTAAAAAATTAATACAAATTGAAATTGGCATTGTGATGAAAAAAATATTTCAATTGGATACTCGTTTGCCAATATTAAAGATGGAAGTTGGTTGAAAATTAAATTTCAGCTTTAATTCTGAGTGACGCCCTTTTAAAAGAAAAGATAACTTAACGGTTGATTTAATGAACGCGGGCAGAGCTTTCGGCGGTCCCTGGATAGGAAGCGCAATCCCGATTGGGCAACTGTCTCTACTCCGAGATATATCGGCTCGTTACCAGTAATTGACGTAGATTAATACCAGACCAAGAATCCGCTGAAAAAGTTCGCAGAGATTCTCTATTACGAGAATAGAATTTAAATTATATCCGGGAGAAAGACTATTGGCACTCAAGTTTAATCTTTCAGAAAACAATTAAACACTTGATGCATTGATGCATGATTCTTTTCGGTATGATAATGTTTACTGAACTGGATTTGTGAGGGAAATATTGAAGTGTTTTTACCAAACAATTTTTCTTTTTCCAACGTCTTGTCTGCCACCACTTATTTTAGTGTAGTGTAGATAGACGAAATAATTCTCAGTATATGGACGAGGCATTGAAGTTTTATATCCCTATCTAGGTGAAGTAGTTAAGTTTATTCTCTTTCTGTCTTGGTCAAATAGTCCAGACAAGACACTTTGAGTATTCTTCAGTACTTCTTATTTGATATCTTTCTTAATTTTTGAAGTGATAAAGACAAGTAGCTACACAGTTCCCTCTCGCACGCACACAGTGCCGCGTGTTCCATCTGGTTCCATTAGGCCGGGCCGCTATTATAATAGTTTGGAGACTGTGATCCGTTCGTGTGAATATAATAGTGTGTAGTCCGTGGGCCGCTGTCCTTTGGATGCGTTTTTGTCCGAACTCCTTTCTACGGAAATCGTGCGAAAAGGAGCTAATGATCCAATTTCATTGCAATGTATAGAAGCTCGTCCACTAGATTCGTACGAATTTGTACGAACGTAAGTAAAATAGAATGCTAGTCCTGACCTCTTTTGGAACGATTTCGTCAGATTTCGCATATGTGGGTATGGTCCACTGGAAGTTTTTTTACCATACAAAAAACTTCTAGTTCTTATTATAGGGATGCTCGTTTTTTATCATTTTTGTCTTACTTCAACTAGTTGTAGCGAAAATGTGTTTTAATTTTATTATTAGAAACGAAAAAGATCCAACTTATCCAATGAAAATTAGATTTGTTCTCTTAGGTAAAAAGGCATGAAATCTGATCCTTCGTAACAGTTCAACGGCTACACTAAGAAATTACCTTGCGGACAAGCTCTTCTTACTTTCTCACATTCTAGAGAGCTGAAATATTTTTAGATGCATTTCTGACAAAAACCAAACATATAACTATTTTATAAAAGCGCTCCCTAACAAATAAAAATAGTTTTCAAATCTTAATCCCTTAATCAATCACTAATTTCGTTCAAACAGGCAATTTGTGACCTAGTTCAATAATGTATATCCTGCAAACCAAGTGGTCCTACACTCATGATATACTAACTAACTCTTTTTCATATTCATAAATGTATAATATGCTGTTAAAGTTTGTCAATTACGTCCTGCAGGACCTAAGGCTCCTGTTGCAAGCATCACCAGAGCATGTTTGCAAATTGAGTGGCACCTTTATAATAAGCAGTGAAGTTGTATAAATGCAGGAGCACTCGAGGGTTGGAGCAGAGCCCATTTAGAATTCAAGCGTCTGTTTATCGGAAAAA